GCAAAGCTAGTATCAAGACTAAGGTTGATCCAGGCCTAAATCAAATACAAGATAAGACAAATCTATCAGCTGAAGCCTGAGGGATCAGACGCAAGACTAAAACAGGCATCATATGAAACTAAACATCAACATAGACTTGCAAATCATCAGATGAAGCCTAACGAACAAGCAGGCGGAGTCATCACTCTCAAGACCAGACGAAGAATCAAAAGTAAAATGTGTATCCAGACGCAGTCAGAAAATAATGAAGTGCGTTTGAAGTCCACTAATCACATTGAGTGAAATCATACAAGAAACACAAAATAACATCAAACCTGAATACAAAAAGAAGAAAAATAGGCAAGCATGGATTCACAAGTCAAAGTTGCGTGCGTCAGAGAAATGACACCTACTTTTCAGAAAAAGACAGCACCTCAGCAGCTAAACTGATGAGAAAAGTACAAATATGCCTAGATCATGATTGAAGTCAGACATTGAAGTAATCAACTACACAGAAGGACTTCACGAATACAAGCAAACATTTAATGTAAGATCAAATGCATTAAATGAAAAGATTTACATAGCCATGAACAAGCCTCCATCTGCAACGACTTGAAGCTACGCTCCAATGGAAAAATTTGAATTCAAACAACAGACATATTTATCAACTGGCTATAAGTATCAAGGCAAAGAGGAAGAAGAGAAGAGAACAGAGAAGTAGAGAAAACGTGCAATAAGAAAATGAAAGCAAAAGAGCATAAGCTACATTTCCTCTCAAAGCATTTCCTGTATATCTATGTAAAAACTAAGATAGCTTATCTTAGTGAGTGTTGCTAATAGTCTATCCTCTCTACGAGAGTAAACAAACACTTAGACACTTACTCCTGTAAAACTAAGGTTACGCACCTTAGTGAGTTTATAAATTATCCTATCCTTTCTGTGAGAGTTGCAAACACACTGAACACCCTCATTTGCTGTAAAGCCTAAATAGGCTAGTAGAAAGAATACTTGTGAACCAGAAGTGGTTTGAGAATACTAGCGCTAATGAGTGAAGCTAGCAGGCCAGAAGTGGTCAAGAATACTTAGAGAACAAGAATTGGTTAAGAATACTAGCGTCGACAAGTGAGGTTGACGGGCCAGAAGTGGTCAAGAATACTTGGAAAATCAGAAGTGATTAAGAATACTAGCGTCGACAAGTGAGGTTGACGAGCTAGAAGTGGTTGAGAATACTTGTAATCCTCTATGATTAGTGGAACCCTTTAGTTAAAGGAGACTGGACGTAGCTCAGATTGAGTGAACCAGTATAAAAATCCGTGCATACCTCTTTCTATTTTTCAAACACTACTTGTCTAAAAACTTCGTCTTTCATCTACTTTCATTTCAACAAACTGTTAGACGAAAACACACTTGTCCACCATTTTCGAAGAAAACATTTTTTTATTTGGACGATAAAACCTTTCAGACGGAAAACTAACTTACTCAACTTGTTTCTTGAAGTAGATGATCATTTCTATCGGACGCAAAAAGCTTTCTAGTCAGACTAGCCTGCACAAGTTTTTCACAAAGCTTGAATATTCTTCTTTTATTAAAAGTAAAATGAGCATCTTTACAAAATGATTTTGAAAAATCTTCCTTCGAACACACACATTCAACCCCCTTTCTGTGTGTATTCCCGCTAACTTCATATTTCACTACAATAATACTAATTCAAAGGTTAATTAATATTTATTTTAAACTACAAAATACATATTTATATTTTCAATAAAATTCATGATTTTAACTATAACTTGACCTTTTCATTCTTTCAAACTTCACGTCCACTTACTTTTCATCCTTCTGATTACAACTAAGTATTTTCTAGATTTCTTTTCCCATACTAATTTTGGTTATAGGTGATTTTTTCAGTCATGTGATTTCTTTTTCTTCTGAATTCTAAGTTCAATAATAAGGTGCTGAATTATTAGTTGGTGTCTTTGGTTGTTCATTTTCATAAACATTTGGTTTCAAAACTATGCATGGTGTATTATTACTACAATTTTTGAATATAACTTATGAGTTAATAATTTATACACTGTCAGTGTAAAGTTTTTTTACACTGACAACTAATTATATCTCTTAATTGTGTCATGTCACTGTAAACACATTTACTTTTAACAGTGACATGACATAATTAAGAGATATAACTGGTTACTAGTGTAAATTTTTTTTACACTAGTAGTGTATAAGTGATTAACTCATAACTTATTGCTCTTATTTGTAGGGAAACATGTTGCTGCAGTTTGAATATTCCAAAAAAAAAAAATTTTGAGATATAAGTTTTTTTATTAGTTGCATCTATTTCGTAAAATAATTTTTTTATATAATAATCTTTATAAATAGGAAATACATAATTAGTAACATTTATCTTATTCTCATGTTTTCCATTACTTTGTAGACAAACTTTAAAAAAAATGCAAAAAATATGATGCTTACACTTTTTTTTAAATTTTGCATTCTTCTATTTAATGTTTTAATGAAGATCATGTCATATGATATTTGAATAAATCAACAAACACATTTGGATATATTTACATTAGTATTTTTTAGTTGATAAGGATCTAAACTATTGTGCTGGTATATATAATTTATACTCATTAATAAATTCATAAAAAAAATCATCTGTAAATGTAGATAATTCATGAAATCAAATTATCTAGAAAACAAAATTAATAAATTATTATTCACTTTGAATCATTTAACAATTGTAAAACATGAAACAAAATTGTAGTTAAAAAAATTAAATTTGATCCCATTTTAATTATTTTTATTTTACATAAATTAATGGTTCTCTTGATATATTGAGTTATGTAGTATTTACTCTCTTACAAACAATTTTAACTTTTTTTTTTCCTTTTTAAACTTAAATATCTTTATTCAATGATTTTATTAATAAATTTTAAAAAAAAAATTAAATGTGTCCCAATTGTGCACCACATGTACATATTACTTACTAATTTTAATTATAAAAGACCATACAGTGAATAATTTCCCAAAACATTTTCATATTAATATTTAAGCCCATTATATTATACTCTAACTAAAGATAACACTATTCAAAGTTAAACATATTGTTATGATATATCAAATTTAATGCAATAAGATAAGTAATATTTCAGGCATCGAGTAAAGTTTCGTATATTTAAACTTTAACTTGGTTGACAGCATAATCAGTAGGCATGACATGATTGGAACATTGTGACTTTATTTATATTTTTTAATTAATAAAGACTGAGAGTTAAGTCTTATAAAAATTTATCTTGATTAATACATGCTTTTTTAAGACCAAAAGGAATACTTAGAACAGTACTTAAAACTCAAGTCTTGAACACTTTTTACACAGTCTTTTGAATATATAAGACAACGGGAATATGGTCAAAGAATAATATTCATGTGGCTCACACAAAGTCAACCACAAACACATCCTCCACACTTTCACCTCCACAACAATGAGCATTTCTAGAATGTCTCTATCACTCAACAAAGTGTTTCCCCCCTCAACTCCACATTGCTAGGTTCATATCATTCCACTACTAGTTAGATTTTCCCCTCCACTGATTTCAAACATTTTGTATATAAGTTCATTGTGAAACTAGGTGTCACAAACTAATTGGGATCCACTTCCATTCATTAAAAAAAATACACAGAACTTTTCAATGTCAACACATGCAAAAAAATAAGGACTTGACACTAAATCCTCTAACAATATTTTTTTACTTATTAGATAAGAAAAATTAAATACTTTGTATTCCTAAAACATTAGATGCATTAATTATTTTTATTTTAATTATTATATTGACTATCAAAAAAGTAGGTAACATCTTAAAAATATTGTAACTTCAGTACAATTTTGTACATAAAAAATCATTGGTTAAAAAATTATATTGACTTTTTATAATTAATTTTTATAAAAAAAAACTTGACCGATTATTTTTTCAGTAAAGCACTTTTTCCTATTAGTTACATTTAATATTAATAAAAGAATACTAAAGACATGTTTGATTATAAACTATTTTATATTTCGTAATTATATTCATAACTAAATAATACTTGATGAATAAAAATTAAAATATAAATTAATTTTATTTATCAATTTTAAAATAGTACGTAAATTATTTTTAAATAAAAAAATATTTTATATTTTTATAAATAATTATTAAAGATTTAATTATTTTATTAGTTCTATAATTTTATAAATTTTATTTTTTTAATCTTTATAATTTCATAAATTTTATCTTTTGGTGTCTATATATAACAATAAATGATTTAGACTAAAAATGAAAAAAAAAACATGTAAAAGAATTAAAACAGAACAATTTTTTATTATAAAGATTACACAGTAAATTTTATGAAATTGTAGAGATTAAAAGAATAATTAAACTATTGTTATAAAAACATCTACAATTTTTTAACTTTTGAGTCATATACTAATTTGCTCTCTGTAGTGCGATTACAGCTGATCGTTTTCTCCTATTGCAGAAATTGAACAAAGATTTTCTTGAAAATAAATTGCCACCTTAATGCACGTGAACTTAGAGGACCTGACCGATATGTCAAACCATGGTATTAATAAACATCTGCAAAGAGTGGAAGACTACAATTGAAAACGAAAAGTACATTTAACTACTCGCTGCGTGTTTGTTTTAGATTTAGAAACGTGATTTTTCACTCTCTTTACATTTACAAACTAATTTACATAGAAGCTACAATTTTTTACTTCTCACAAACGTGAATTTTCACGTCCAAAAGTTAAAGCAAAAACGCACTCATTTTATATCTGTGTTGTCGAAAAACAAAATTGAGTTGTTAATGTTTGGAGAGAAAAATGTGTGCATGTACGATTATTATTTGTTGTAGTATAGACGGTCAGATGAAGCCGAAAATAAAATCAAGGAAAGTGGAATTCCATCAAGTGGACCTGATCAATGGGCCTCTATCGGGTATTATGCACCCAAAAGAAGCGCGTCCTAGCCACTTAATAGAATGCGAGCGGCGTAGATTCTGGCATTGTTTGCACCGTACACACCCACTCTCTCTTCTCTTCTCGTCTCACCATATAAAAATTTCATTCACACTTAACCTCAATTCACATTCTCTTCAACTCTTGTTCTGGAACCGTCGCTGTTGAGACAATGCCCACTAACGAAGACTTCCAAGGTATTCTCTCTGTTTTCCCCTTTTTATTATTAAATTGTACGTAATTATTATGTAAGTTGAATAGAAATGTGTTTTAGGACAAAGAGGACTTCAGAAGGAATAATAAGTGATCAATTAGGTTTCGTCTTAAATTGTTTGGTTGAAAAATTTTAACTTTCATAGGGTAGGCAGAAATCTGATTCGGTTATCAATGAAATTGGTTAGCAGATGAATGAAAGATAGGGTCAAGATGAAGTTGAAGGTAGATTAGACCAGGCTTACTTGTCACGCTACTTGAATAGTTTGGGATCTTGCTTTTTGTACAGTTTGAGATCTTGCGTTATGCTAATTGCTTACATGATTTGTGATGTGTGTGTTAGGTGTTTCAAATTGTTATGTGTTCAAGAGCCGATTGCAGGAATATGCACAGAAAGCGGGGTTGCCAACACCTGTTTACGAAACTATTAAGGAAGGGCCTTCACATGAACCTTCTTTCAGGTCAACAGTGATAGTGAATGATGTTCGGTATGATTCTTTGCCTGGATTTTTCAACCGGAAGGCCGCGGAACAGTCCGCGGCAGAAGTTGCTTTGATGGAGTTGGCCAAATCTAATGCAGTTAATCAATCCATCACTCAACCTGTTGTAAGTAGTCTTTACTAAGTATAAACTTTTTGTTGTTTGCAAGGTCTGAGAGTACTAGTCATTTAGTTTTTACTTCACTTTAGCTGATTGGGATCTTTGAAGTTTTTGTTTTATGGGACAGTTTCATTGTATATTCTTGCCACCTCTAACAGTTAGCTAATGGTTACTTTTCATGGCAAGATTGGTGGACATTGCCTTGTTGATAATGATTGGCCTTCCCCCTCCTCTCTTTTCATTTGGAGGATGCCTTAACTTCCTTCTGCCTCTGTAGTCTGCACCTTCTGCTGCTTCTCATTTATAGTAGTAAATAGCAGAGTGGTAGAGTGGAGTGGCCCTGATATAGGCTTGAAAAACCTCATTTTTACCCTTGAAATCATACTATAATTGTGATTTCTCCCCTATTTTCTAATTCATTTTTTGCTTTTGAAACTGTTCTTCCTTGCCCATTCTGCAAAATGTTACCCATGTTTTTTATTTTTGTTCCTTCACACTTTGCAAGACAATATTTTTCCTGTGTTTCATGTTCACATTGTACTAATTTTACGTAATTTGTTATGTTCTCTTTGTATTAGTTTTACCGTCATCTTTCATTTTTTACTTCATTACTATGTTCTCATTGCTCTTAATGATAGTGATTGTGTGTAAACTGTGACTTATTATTTATCATGAATTTCTTTAATTATATTTTTTAATATTGTGCAGTATATTTTATTTAGTTTGCATTATAATATTTAAAATAGTGGTCATCCTTTTCTTGCTATCCCACTATAGGATTTTCAAAGTTGGCCTGTTATCTGAGTGAGATTGCTTACTATGTCTCATTAATATAATTTCTTTCATCATATAGATCTATCTCTTAAGTTTCCATCTGATGAATATTTCTGTTTGTTTTCTGTTTTTTTTTATGTTTATATTCCTGTACTTTTTAGCTCTACTGTTAGAAGAATTATTTATTGGAATGTCTGGATTTTGAGAAAAGAAAATACCAGCTTTATTTCTGGGGCATTGCCTGCCCTGGAATGAAAAGTTACTTTTGTTCAGTCCCACTGTAGTTGAAGTCATATGGTTCTTTCTCACTCATACATGAATCATCCTCGTCCTTTAACCCTGGTAATAATTTTGTACATGGGAATGGAAAAGAAGGGTAATAATTGGTTGAAAACCCAAACTAGAACACTTTTTTCTTGTTTTTGTTCAACCCAAGTTGATCATCCATACTATTTGCCACTCATCACCACTTTGTTTTTGTCCATTGACTACAGGCAGAAATATAATTGCCGCATATTTTTCACATGGAATATCGTAGATAGCCTCAAATTTTTTGCCAACATATCTGACTAAAATATTTGAATGCTTATTTACTCTTTGAATCGTTGATTGGTCACTGCCACTTCATCGTATCCAACAATCACCCATGAATTATTGGCAAAATTCTAGCTAGTTTTTTTGGCCACGTAGCACTACACTTTACAGATTACATTTTCGCTCACCTTAGTCATTTAATTCTTGAAATATGCTCAGTTATCTGATCTAATGCTTGAAGACTTTATAGCTTTGTTGCCCAATTTATTTTAGCCATTAATGATTGTATTGTCTCTTGACTACAAGACATTTATGTTCTGCATTATAGTCTCTTTCAGCCGTACAAGTTAATGTATATTTGCTGCCTCTGACATGCTAGTGGTGTTTATTCCAGCATGAAACAGGATTATGCAAGAATTTACTTCAGGAATATGCACAGAAAATGAACTATGCAATGCCTATGTATCAGTGCAAAAAGGATGAAACACCAGGTCGAACATCAGTATTTTCATGTACAGTTGACATTGGGGGAATTCTCTATATTGGAGGAGCAGCAAAAACAAAGAAGGAGGCAGAGATAAAAGCTGCTAGAACCGCTTTATTAGCTATCCAGTCAAGTGCATCTCATGCTTCCCAAAACCAGGTTGGCCATTCACAGTTGACAGTCATTCCAAGCAGAAAAAGGCCAACAGAATCTGCTGCCACAGCTGACGAGAATACAAATCCCCCAAAGCCCAAGAAAGCGCGGTTTAAAAAGAAATCTTCAAAGAGGAAACCCTGTAGGGATAAGGTGGTCCAAATTCATGCTGAAAATGTGGGGATTGGTGCAAATATCAATCATGAGGTAGAAACTCATGCAAGTGTTAATGGTGAATCTAGCATCCAGGAAATGAAATATGAAAGGTTCACTTCAGAAGCCATGAAGAATTTTGAGAATGGAATATATCGTGAGAAAGAAACATTGGCTCGGGAGGGTTCTTTTGCTCTGAACAGCCAAGAAGGGATTGTTGAAAATGGTAAGTCAGCAGAATTATATTCTAAGGAGAACAATAATTTTGGGACTGTTGTTACAGAACTATCTTCTGTGTCTAATGGAGACATACTGGAAATAAGTGTGGAGATAAACAAACAGCAATACAGTGGAGAAACCACTAATGGAGGCACACCAAAAACAAGTGTGGAGATGAACAAACAACAATACACTGGTGAAATCACTAATGGAAGCATGCTGGAATTAAGCGTGGAGATGAACAAACAGCAATACAATGGAGAAATCACTAATAGAGACATACCAGAAATAAGTTTGGAGATGAACAAACAGCAATACAGCGGAGAAATCACTAATGGGGACATACCAAAAATAAGTGGGGAGATGAACAAACAGCAATACCATGGAGAAACGATTTCTGACCAATGTATTGTGGGGGGTTGAAGAGAGTTTTAAATTATTAGAATGAAAGAAAGGATCGAAGCAATTGCAGTCATTTGTTAGTGTTAGGAACCTTGAGGATTCCAACTGTTTTTCTTTGTTGGGTGTCACTCAATTAGGAAAGTAAAATATAGGATGCGATGATTCTCAAAGCAAGTTGATAATTTAATGATGGTGTTTAACACCATTTATTTATATTGTATTAGTATTTTTGAGTTATCAGCTCCATTTGTCCGCGACATGGGACATAGATTTGGAATGGGTTTGAGTTTATATAAAAAACTGCTATTTTCTTTTGGAGTTTAGTTTTGAATTTGGAGTTTAGTTTTGAATTTGAAATGTGATTAATAAAAAATCATTGTTTGTATTAGTAATTGAAAACATATGAAGATTGTTCCTTTATGTTTAAGTCATATATAAGATTTTTGAGAAAAATGATCCAAATCTATTTATTTTATGAAAATGGATTGGTTACCTATTTGATTGATTTAGTTTTTTTTTTAATGATGGATTAGGTTTTTTTTTTATAATTAAACTGGGTCAATGTAATTCAATTATTTCCTTTATATTCATATGAATTGTTCTTGTAAAAAATTTGAACCAAATTGAATCGGTTGGATTAATTGAACTGTTTTTTCATAAAGTAGATTGATTTGACACTAGCAACCAATTATATCTTTTAATTGTGTCATGTCATAAAGTAGATTGATTTAATTTTTATTTTCAAAATGAATTAAGTTTTAAAATCTGGTTGGATTTGGAATTTTTACATACCCTTATTTTATATACATTTTTTAAAGGCTGAAATTTGAGGAATTTAGAACTTTAGATACATCAATTTTAAAACTTATATACAACTAACAATTAAACACCAACGTTCACTAATTATTCTCAAAATGCTTTTGGCATTAAAATTTACTAAGTGTTTTACTATTATTTTTTTAATTGACACAAACAAAACCAGATACATAATAAAAATCTGTTTTACATTGTGTATCTAAGTATCTCAATCACATGTGCAACAAAAAAATAGGAATTTAGAACTTTAGATACATCAATTTTAAAACTTATAGACAACTACCAATTAAACACCAACGTTCACTAATTATTCTCAAAATGCGTTTGGCATTAAAATTTACTAAGTGTTTTACTATTATTTTTTTAATTGACACAAAAACAAAACCAGATACATAATAAAAATCTGTTTTACATTGTGTATCTAAGTATCTCAATCACATGTGCAACAAAAAAACTTAACATGGAAACAAATTTTTGTTGCATATTAAAACCCAAATGTACAATAAAATATGTTTTTGTTGTGTATATGAAAATTGTTTTCATTATATTGTAGGAGGGGTCATATTTTTGTTAAAAAACAAATTTTTTAAAAGTGAAGAATTTAAATAGTAATTTGGAATCTCAAGTTATTATTTCATATATCATCATATATATCTAGCATATTTTAATCTATTTATAAAATTTTTCATAATTTTTTTAATCATAACTATTTTAAATAATAAGAAATTTTAGCCACTGAAATTTAATACACATAAATGATGACATTGAGTAATAATCTAATATGGTTGTCTGAATACAAAGAAATAAAAATATTAGGTAAAATTAAATACCATGGATTATAAATTAAATTATAAAAAGATATAAGACCAAAATATAATTTTATTTTAGTTTAAGACCTAATTAAAAATTCTCAAAATAAATTCATAAACCAATATAATTTTTTATATATTGTAAATATTTACATTTCAAATTGTTTATATATAAATATTTGTACTTATTAATTTGTTCAAGGTTCATAAAATTTCATAACCGGTAATATATATCTATAATTATTATAAAGGGGATATATTTTGATAATCACCCCTTTGGTCTCTATTTTTTAGTGGACTATTATACTTTTTAAAATGTTAAAAAAATTATATTTTTTTTAAATAATTATCTACAACTTTTAATGTTTATAAATGTATAATTGCACGAAGTGCTTCGACCCTTCTAGTATATATAAAAGTTATGCAAACGGGGGAATAATCATGTGTTTTTAATGAACCCTGAGCAAAGTATTTTGACAAGAAACACAAAATTTTGCTATCCAACGATTAATATTGAAATAATATATTCAGTCATTGATACGACGAAATATGAATCCACGATCACAAAATATTGCAAGTCCCACGCTCATCTCATCGTAAGAGACCTTCTGGTTGGATCACAATTACGTTAGCCAAAAAAGTTAGTTCAATCCGCTGATGCCTGGTATTTTGACCCGTCTCAAGAAAGACATTTTAATTGTTTGATATTTCTATGATTCTTCAATTGTCCTAAATCCTAATACAGTTAACGTTAATCAAAGGTCAAAACTCAAAATATATCGACACATTAATGAGAGAGACACACTCTCCAACAAGTATGAGAATATGGGAACCTGGCGTTTACGTCATGCCATACAAAACATGTTAAGTTATAGGAATAATGTAATAATCAACCCATATCCGTACCAATGACTTGGTTTGAACGCTGAGTTAACAATTATATATGATTGAAGGTATGTTGCGAGACGACCGTAAAAAAAAATCGTTATGCACTAAGCTCTTCATCTTTCTCTATGCACTACAAAATGCTATATATAAAAGTGTCATGTGTTCATGCAACTATGCAAGGAAAGTAATGACATTGCTAATGGCCAGTACTGTAGTTAGCCTTTTTTCAATAGTCCTGCTTTGCATAACAGCAGCTCAAGGGAGGAAAACATTTCACCTAAATAATGAGTGGCCAACATCCTATGCACTTATTAATGATGTTGATGGTATATGCAAAACAATGGTAGAGACACAAGGTTACACATGTGAAGAACACAAGGTACATATATTACTATATCCTATTGCATCCCTATGCCATTGATCATGAAGGCATTTTAGGCAATATTTTGAGGTTTAAATATAACTACCCATTTAATCCTTGTAGTTGTACAAAGTTTACGTACCCTTAAAGATCATCTTTTGTAGTTTCGACAGTAAGCAACTTTCAACTTAATCAACTTAAGGTTATAAATAACTTTTAATTTTAACAACTTAAAAGATCATCATATATAACATCATAGATCAATACATAATGAACTACGTTATATCATCATCATGCATCATATACTCAATCAACTCATCAAGATAAGTTAAGAAAATTAAAGGATTTAATTGAAACTAGTACTTAAGAGATTGAAATTAGCTCCGAGCGAGTCAAGTCAAAGACTCTCCTAAAATGGTCCACTTGCTTGCTTAAGAGACCTTATGAGTGCTCTAAGTGAGCAAGCCCAAAAAATTGGCATGAATTCAAGAATGAACCTAACAATCTCAAGAACAACATCCAACTCCAAAACTCTTACGTCCAAAATAGCAATTCATGCATGCACTTAGAATCTATTATATATCAACAACATATGACTAAAAATTCAAAAAAAAAAAAAAAAAAAGACAACATGAAATAACAAATGCATCATAAATCATCAATTTCTCTCTCTTCACCGAGAAACCTCAAGAACAAAGAACTCAAGGTTCTACCTTTTGATTTTCAACACAAATGTTTATCACATGACTCAATAGAAGATAATCAACATATAGAATAGAAAAAATCAATCTACAAGTTTCGCTTACCTCAAATTGCTCAAAAAATAAGAAAGAAAAGAGAAAACGATGAAGAACGGAGGCTTTCCTCACTTGCATGAATTCACCAATCTACCTTTGATACTCGGTTAAGGGAAGAATCTATAAAGTTTCTACGAAATTAGAAGAAGAAAATTATCTCTCTATGCTTCTAAAGCTTGTCTCTCTAGCTTTTCTCTAACTTTCCTTAAGACATGAAATTATAAAGTTCATATCTTAAAAAAACCTTAAATACTCTTTCTCAAACTTGGTCAACTAGACCCTAACTAAACACAACCTTAGAATGACTTAACCCTCATGAATTCTTTGACTCTTTAATTTCTAAAACAACTACTAACTCAACATTTCCACATTTAAACAACACATATTATAAAATAATTAATCAAAATATCTAAAATATATAGTGTTACAAGCACAACTTTTACATTTTAGTCATTACACTAAGAAACTACTCAATTTAGTTCCTATGCATACATACGTACATATATATATATATATCGTTTTAGAGTCTGATCAACATTTTTTCCTTTTTTGTCTTCCTTTTCCTTCTTCTTCTCTTCTCTTCGTGTTCCATTCTTTTCTTGTTTCCTTATCAATAATACATGTCAAAATGTGTCGCATCATTATTAGAGGTGATTTTTGGTAGCCATAATTATTATGATTAAGAAAATTAATTAAATGGAAACTTCTATGTTTTCAAGCATTTTATGCTACTAAATTAAAATGGAGTGAATCCTCGCCACTGTTCAAAGTGTCAACACAAATCACTACCGACAAGTTACCTAAACTTGTTTGAGAATCCCATCTAATCTTACAACTTTAAAACTCTCCAATTTAAAATCAATATAAATTAGCCAAAGTAAGAGAATTTAAAAGAAATAAAACTCAAAAAATTAAAGAAAGGAGAAGCTGTTAACAAAGAAAAAATATAAGAAGGATACAAAAGGAAGAGGAAACGAATTAAGTAGAGGAAGAAGAAAGAGAAAAGAAGTCAATAGATATTAAAACATAAAATAAATTTTTATATAGGAACTAAAACCAACAATGTGTAGGTATAGGAACTAAAATGTAAAGGTTGTATAAGTGTAAAGACTAAAATGTAACAATTGTACAAATATAGGAATCAAAATATAACAATACAGGTACAAAGACTAAAACGTAAGTTGCAATCTACATTATTAGTGCCACACCAATGAGACATCAGCTCAACTTCATCCACTATTAAAGTTCTTAACTTTTTATAACAGCAAACACTACAATGGAAACTGAAAATGCTTGAATAAGGACTAAATTGGATGGCTTTTAAATGTAGGGACAAAAAAAGGTAAAATTTATGTAATTATAAGCATCAAAAAGTTAAATAAACTCTTTTTGTTGAAACCAGGTCACAACAGAGGATGGCTACATCCTGAGTTTGCAGAGAATGCCAATGGGGCGGTCAGGTGAGAAGGCCGACAAGCCGCCGGTGCTATTACAACATGGTATCTTTAGTGTAAGTTGTTTTAATGCATATAAAGAAAAAGAAAACATGTTTTTACCTGCTAAGGTTTTAAAAATGTAGAGGCAACAGTTGAGTTTTGAACTAAGATAATAAATTAACTTGTGTTGTGTGGTTTCAGGATGCTACAACATGGCTGATCAATTCTCCTGATGAATCTTTGGGATTTATCTTAGCAGATAATGGGTACGATGTGTGGCTTGCCAATGTTCGTGGCACACAATACAGCAATGGCCACACGTCACTTAATCCTAATGACAAGGTTCTTCTACTCATGAGTTATGAGATACATGCAATTCATTTTTCATGCTTTGAGTAAACTAGTTGATAGTTACATTGCTCCAGCGGATAATTGTTTTTTCATTATGTTTAGGCTTATTGGGATTGGTCGTGGGATGAATTGGCTGGTTATGATCTTCCAGCTTTTGTGCAATATGTGTACAACTATACTGGTCAGAGAATGCACTATGCAGGTCATTCCTTGGTGAGTTTTTTTATTTCATTTTGTTTGTCATTGTACACTTTCTTATGTCATATTAAAAACACTTTTAGTTCCTATATGTATTTTGTAATTTTAGTTCTAGTTCTTACTCTATAAAACTTTTCTTTTGAGTGCCTATAGTTTCAAAACCACTAGAAAATGGTTCTTGGTATAGGGACCAAGACTAAAATGTACAAAGGATGGCTGGGTCAAAATCCGAATGATTTTAAAATTATAGGGACTCAAAATTAAACTTTAAAGTATGAGGATTAAAACCAAAATTGAGAAAAACTATAAAGACTAAAAATTTGCATTGTTCGGCCATTTACATCTGTAGTGTGTGTATATTTAACAATTACATGACATTTCAGGGAACTTTAATGGCTTTAGCTGCTTTGTCTCGAGGGCAAGAGCTCAACATGTTGAGATCAGCTGCATTACTTTGCCCAATTGCTCACATGAATCAGATTACATCATTACCAACAAAACTTGCTGCTGACATATTTATAGCTAATGTGAGAGAGATATAGAAGATCATTTACATCATCATTAGAATATCTATTGAATATAATTTAGCTTGATGAAAATATTTTCCTTTTCTTGATATAACAGGACATATATTGGTTAGGAATCAGTGAATTCAATCCAAACGGGTAACAGAAAATCCTTAACCTTGAAAATATATATATTGTCACTTTTTGCTATGTGTTTGAGTAGCAATGTTTCCTAATGAGCAGGGGTGCTGGATCAAATTTTGTGGAAGAAATCTGCAATAAACTAAACTTGAATTGCGCAAATCTAATGTCACTTGTCACAGGTGTTATAAACGTTTCTAGAGCATATATTATACTAGTTCCTACTTCTGCAGATATTGACATTATTTTGCTGTTGGTTACATGAAACTTTAGGTCCAAACTGCTGCTTAAATTCATCCAAAACAGTTATCTCTTCTGAGCCAACAGCAACTAAGAATTTGATCCATCTATCTCAAAGTAAGTTTACTAGTAAGAAACAATTTTTCTATATGATCAAGTGTGATATAATTTTAAAGCATTTCTAATTTCTTGTTGATATTTCTCTCTATGGATTTGTAGTGATCAGAACTGGAAAAATAGCTAAGTATGATTATGGTGATCAAGGAGAAAATATGAAGCATTATGGGCAACCAATTCCTCCTCCTTATGTAATGACAAAAATTTCAAATGACTTCCCTCTTTTTCTCAGCTATGGAGGCCAAGATATGCTATCTGATTTAAACGATGTGCAGGTTTTGCTCAATGACCTCAAAGATCATGATAAGAACAAACTCGTGGTGTTGTTCAAGAAAAACTATGCTCACCTTGATTTTGTTAGGGCTGTCAATGCTAATCAAATGGTCTATGATCCTATGATGGCTTTTTTCAAGATTAATTGAGTTTACAACTATTATTAATCCTACTTCAAATAGTGAATATGTTACATTGTTCAAGACACTAATTCATACCTCCCGGTTAATTGAAAAAATCACGAATTTTCTCATGCGTGGACAATGTGGTGGTACTGGTATACATGAAGACTTTTATTTTTGGTGAATAACCTTTGAATGGTATCATGAAGAGTAGAGAAAGTAAATAATTGACTTAAGGGAGTTTGATTCATTACGCCATTAAGGATAATCAATATTTGAGCGTTTCGCATCCCAATTCAAGAAAATGGATAGTACCCTGACTTGCGGAAAAAGAAAAATTCTACTGAACTCCTATAAATTTGGGGTTTTTGATTAGCTAATTTTTAGACTAGTGGTGTTTTTGTCTTTATTTTATATGCGAAGAAGATTTCATAACTAGAAAAAATGAACATTAGCATAAGAGATGCCAAGTCCGGGAAGAAAGATCAAATACATTATGTTCACCAAGGAAAAACCTATAGAGTGAAAAACAAATGTTTCTAAACAAGAAAATTGTGTGATACAAAAGGGATGTTGTCTAGTTAAACATGTGTCATATCTTAGTACAATTCATTCACCTACATAAACTCCTTCACATTAAGTCCAACATTCGAGCCACATTTTAGCTTTGACCATAGTGTTAATAGTGTGCTATGAGACACTCTTCTAGTAAAAGGGATCATACTACTTTAAATAAAATTAAAAAAAAACTCTTAAATTCAAAAATAATCAAATAGCAATATAATTTCAAAATAAGGCACAAATTGTTTTTACACAAGTTTCAACATAAAACATAAAAACATCATAAGATGAAATAAATTTTATTTATAACTGAGAAATGCATAAGTTTCTCTACCCCCTATGTCACACTATCATAACAAAATCTCAAAATAACCAACAAAGCACTAAGCTTCCTTTCCATCAAACTCATCCTCATACACCAGTTCTACTCTTGGAATGGCTATTAGCCCAAACAAAACAACAACACAGAAGTAAAGAGTGAGAATATATCTCATCTATGTAAAGCACATATAAGGCATAAGGATAACACTAACACATGTACATCCATAATCATTATCAATATAAGACTTCAGTTATTCCAAGTACATCCATCATCAATAGCATCCATATTGTTAATCCCATAAATCTCAATTACATTTTAAAACCTCATGCAATATATGCTCTTAACTCTACATACATGTGGTATCAATCCTATCATCACCAACACAAGGCAGCCTAGGGGCCATGATCTGAATCACCACAAACTAGTTGACCTTTTAATCCATTCTCAACTAGGGGATATTTACCAAGATCTAGTCGAAGCATTGGAAAAAAATCCAAGTTCCACATTAACAAGAGATATGACAAATAAAGAGTACGTAAGTGAGAGGCAACTCTCACCTTACAAGTTGATTTTGTAAGATTGAGTTAGGCTCAAACCCACATTCTAACATGGTCTCAAAGTAATCCTAAATCTTTTCTAAAAATAGTCACCTGTGATTGATCTACATACAAGTTAGTTTTGTAGGGTTGAGTTAGACTCAAACTCACTTTCTAGCATGGTATAAAAGCAATCCTAGATCCTTTCTAAAAATGGCCACCCGCCATTGATCCGCATACTAAGTACAATAGTGTTGGATGTGAGGAGTGTATTAGAAAAAAATTCAAGTCTCACGTTAACTAGAAATTAGACAATTAAATATTATATAAGTGGGGGAGAGACAACTCTCACATTACAAGTCAATTTTATAGGGTTGAGTTAGGCTTCCATCAATTTTCTTAAGATGGTATCAAAGCCTATATCGTAGCAATTACTAATTATTGTTTGGGTCTAACATACCACTTACTATCAGACTACCCATAAATGTCCAGTCTTGCAAACTTCATACTCAACATGTTCAGTCCTCAACGTGAGAGAAGTGTGTTGGAAATCTCACATTGATTAGGAATAAAGCCAAAATTCAGGATATATGTGGGGATTAATTATTACCATACAAATCAGTTTTGTAGGATTGAGTCAAACTCATAACCCACTTTCTAAGATGATATTAGAGCAACCAAGATCCACTCTTAAAGGGTCACCCATCATTGATACACACACTAAACCTAATAGTACTAGGTGTGAGAAGTCTATTCGAAAAAACCCAAGTCATCTTTATCCTAAATCATTAAAATGAGTATTCACATATCAAGCTCAATAATATTGGACATGGATATATTGAAAAAAATCTAAGTTCCGCACCGACTAGAGATAAAACGATTAAAGAGTATATGAGTGAATGATAACCTTCACCTTACAAACTAATTTTATGGAATTGAGTTAGACTCAAACTCACTTTTTTAAGATTTCTCAACTTTGAAAGTCCTATTAATCTATTAAATAATTGTAAAAACATTGTTGTCCTTGTATACCTTTTATTATTATTATTATGTAATTTAATATATTAATATGATGTTCATATACTTAGCTTCCCCGAATGTGTACTACTAGTCTACTATTATCGATCACGGCAAACCAATGCCAATGTACAACATATTTAATTTGTAATACAACAAATTACCTATTATTCACATAATAAATTTGATGTGACTTATTAAAATTTAACATTAAAATAAATAAATAAATAAAAGGGTGGGTCAACAGGTCAATTTATTCTAGTCTGTCGTCATTTGGCCAAACGAACTAGCAAGATAAGCAGGACAAGTCAGGCTAACAAGAATTCCTAATCTAACTCACCAATATTTGGCAAGTGAACCCACGAGTTGGGACAGTTTGCCATCCCTAAATAAAAGTAACATTTTTAACTTTTATGTATTTATAATTAATGAATTTTGAGTGTACTATAGTAAAAATTAAAAGCTATTTTAAATTTGTTGGTGTATTTTTATTTTATTAAATAAATATTGTCTTAATTATTTTTAAATTTTATTTTTAATTATTTTAGATATATTAACTTTAATTAAGTGATATTGTTGAAGCTTTGAGTCGTTAACCTTGTCGTGACATAAATTAAACGCTAACTATTATTATTATTATTATTATTATTATTATTATTATTATTATTATTATTATTATTGTTGTTGTTGTTTCTTTTAATTTCATTATTTGTAATTTTTTAAATTATTTATCTTAAAAGAATTTTTTTTACTTTATATATGATAATATAATTATTATAAGAATTATTAATCTATAAGAATTATTATTTATGTGTTACGTTATTTTTTTAATATTGTTGCGTGTTATTTTTCATATGTTATTTTTTTTTCAACCTTATTTAACTCATTCCTATTGCTTTTCTTTATATTTCACTTATCATTCAAAAAAATCATAAGTAAATTTAGACCGACAACATTATTAAAAACAATGCAAGGAAGATACTTTCTAACACATAATTTTTTTTTTTTTTGAACAGCTAAGAAAAATTTCATTGAAAAGGTACCAGTGGTACCAAAAAGATAAACAGAAAAGTGTACATATAGAACCAAACATCAGTTCCGTGAATAGAAAAAAATAGAAAAGAAGTAACCCCTTCACAACCCTTTACTACTGCTCTATTATAAACCCCACTCCCATCGTAGCTGTCTTCCACCTACACTAACACATCAAGCCCCTAATCTACATAAGCATAGACCAGGATTGCTGCACCATTGTGAAAAAGTATACCGGAAAGTCTTTGTGAAGGATGACAACCACCTCCAACTGTGAACCAGAATCTCTTTCACCAGACTATCAAAACAGAAGCTGTTATCATTGAACCTGCATAGGTTCCTTGTCCTCCACACTGTCCAAGTAGTGACCAGCCACACGGTACGCCAATATTCAACTTGTACATTTTGGTAAATCGGTCCAGGAATGAAGTTGAAATGCTCCAAAATGCACCTAGGGAGTGGAGTAGGACAATTAATCCAAGACAGACATACCTTCCATACTTTGTCAACCACCGAGCAGGTGCAGAACAAATGATAATCAGTTTCAATATCTTGCTTACAAAATACACATAGTGCATCATTATCTGATATGGTAATACTCCTGCTAGCCAGATTATCCACCGTCGGGAGGCCCCTACTCATCATTCTCCAAGCAAAAATTTTAACTTTTGGTGGTGCCGGGATGGACCAAATAATGTTAGGTGCACCATTATTGGATCCTACCACAACTTCAGAGGTGATGGCACTATATGCAGACCTGACTGTATAAGTTCCAGACGGTTCACCCAACCACCACCATGAGTCAACCTGCTCCGCCCTAGGACTACACTCCAGAAGTTGTTGCATTAATTGCTGCTCCAACTGTATCTCCCATTCGAACCTTTCCCTTCTCCATTGCAGCTGCCATACCCAACTACTGTCTGTCCAAGAGCCCATATCCTGAATAAAATGATTTTGTTGTTCAGAAATAGTGAATAGCCTCGGAAAAACACTTGCTAGACAGATTGGGCCTGTCCAATTATCTAGCCAAAATCTAGCTCTTGCTCCTGATCCAATTCTCCACTTAATCTTCCTTTCAAACCAATTGTCTTGTTCTAGTCCACCACATACCATAAGTAGATCCCTCCACCATATGGAATCTCTTCGGGAACTACTTTGAGCACAAAGATTTGTCCCACCACCATATCTCGAATATAATACTCTGGCCCATAGAGAATCGTTTTGGTGAAAAAGAGACCACCTCCACTTGGCTAACAAAGCCATATTAAACCTGGTAATATTTTTGACTCCTAATCCCCCCATCTTCTTTGGCAAAGTCACCCTATCCCAGCTTATCCAGCAAATTTTACGTTGATCTTCCTTACAACCCCATAAAAAGTTTCTTTGTAGACTAACGATTTCTTTGCTGACACTAACACATAATAGTGTGTATTTTTTTTTTAAGATATGGTCACAATAGTAATAGGGTATATTATAACATAATAGACTGTGTTTAATTTGAGAAGTGTATTAAAATATACTATTTCATCATCATTATTATTATTATTATTATTATTATTATTATTATAACTTCATTATTATTACATTCACTACAACTATTTTATTTTTATGATACATAACGGATGTTTATTTTTCTTTAAGATCTAAATTTATGAGAATTGAAAAACTCATAATGTTTTATAATTGAATTATAATTAATACTAATTTAATTATTATTGTCTTATTTGTATACGTTTTTTAGATTAAATTTAAACAGTGTTGCAAATTATGTACTATTTAACTAATTAATTTAACGTACTATTTCTATTATTATTATTATTGACATATGATTTATAAGAATAAAAAAAATTATTGACTCTTATAAATTTGATAGAAGTCTATTTTTGTTTGTTGTTATTACATTATTATTCACTTATAATTATGAAAATTTTGTGTTAAATTATCAATTATGTAATTATTTTAAATATTTATTTAAAATAAATACAAAAAATATGTAAATTGAGTGTTATAATTGCTATTACGAATAATTCTAAATTGAGTATTATTATATATATTAAATCAGGATCCACGTTATTCCTTGGGGCCTCCACTTCGTCTTGTGTGTTGCGAACGATTCAAAAGTGATTGAATGATGAATAGAAAACCGTGTTTCCTTCTTGCATATATAGAACCATGTAGTACTTTCTCATGTGCTGAGGGTATCCCCACAACATTAGGTGATTGCAGAGACTGCATATCTGACCATGATATTTTTTGAATAATTAATTATATATATACACCCATTTTGGGGGGTGAGTGGTAGAGGAAAGAGAAAAAGAAATAAAGAGAGAAAATTATATTAGTTTAATGGTGTTATACCAATCATAATTTAGTTAACTTTTACAATAATCAACTTATAAATTATATTGATTTAATGGTGTTATACCAATCACAATTAACTTTTACAATAATCACACAAATCGTGATTTTAATTGGTTAGTAAAACTTTTCACATTAATGGTATTAAACTCAAATTATATATGTGATATGAGAGAGAGGGAGAGAGGGAGATGGAGAGAGGGAGAGATAGAGAGAGAGAGAGAAAGGTAGAAATGAGATGCAAGAAAAAATAAGTTGACGAGTATATTTTTTGATAATTTGACATTTGATACTTTTAGCTGGAAAAAGATAGCTCTAAATTTTAACCACTTAAAGTATTTCATATAATTAAATAATTTAATAAAAAAATTCCTTCGTGTTTCTTAATTCCATGATATTCTTGTAACCAATAAAAAGATCTCATGCTATTCTTAGTACCCTCCTCTTTCATAATAAAAAAAAATATTTAGAAAATTTTAAATAGTTAAGTTTTTATTTTTGTCATAAAAGGAGAGATGTCGGGATAGTATATAAAAAGTGAGAGTTAAAATATAAGCTCCGAAATCTTAATCATATAAGTGTTATCTAATGGATTACATAAGAAGTTTGTGTTTGCTTGGTATTACTCTATTGGGATCCCTTTCACCTTTTCTTTATTTCGTCCAAGACCAAAAGTTAAAGCGTTTCACCTTCGCGGATCCTATTTTGGACGGACTTGATAATTTGTCAAATTTTGTCAATGATTTTGCCATGTCTTTGACTGTGTCAGGCCTTTCCAAGACTTGCACATGATTTTCATGTGTACTCTAAGTAAGTAGTACACCAAAGTTCTTGCTCATGAAATTTGGAAAAATAAATATACACTAATTTATATTATCATCTAATCACAAATCACTATATATAATAAACTTGTTAAACTTTTATCAACAATAATTTTTTATGTGCCAAACTACTTTACACCAGTGCATAACTATGAAATACATGATCTTTTTCCCTTCTAGTAACTCAAGGTTTAGAACCGAAGAACTTTAGGGGGAAAATCTTATTTATATTCATTATGGAAACCTAGGATTCAGTAGTAAAGTGATCATATAAATATCTGCTATCTTTTGTAAGCAATCATTTTTTTGGCACATGAACGAAGTACGGCCTAGCAAAAGGCAAATTCATAGCATATGTTTAGAAGACACTTGATGCATTTTTATTGCTACGTACTCTCATCAATTAGTTACACTTGGAAAAGAAAAATCGCAACTCGCAAGTACAGTTGGCGTGTTCAATATGCAATTCAGAAAGGTCATGACAGGAGAAGCATGCACAAACTCAGTGAATATTCCTATGTAGAAAACTTTATATCATAAAATGTTGGTTTAATTAATATATTCTCAGATGTAGACAACTACATTTTCTTCATGTGTAGCTGAATACCCCTCTTGATTACTATTAATTAATGTATGATTCATTCCCTTGGCAAATTAGCAGCATTTGAGGAATCACCAAGTTCATGATCTTGTGGGTGAGGTGGCAGTGATAGGATTTGTAATGGAGAGTCCAAAATGATAGCACCATGTTGCTGGGGTGGGTCTGATATAATATTAATAGGAGGTGCTGGGTTGAGAAACTTGGTAGTGGGAATGATGGAACATCTACAAAGTGGACAAGTGGAATTTGATTGAAGCCAGTGATGTATGCAATCCAAGTGGAACACGTGCTTGCAATAAGGAATCTCAACAACCTCTTCTTTCACCTCAAATTCCCCCAGACACACACAACATCTGTTTCAAAATTACAAGCTGTCAGTTTTATTTATATTAATTACCCTAATCAACATTTTTTTTATCAAATGTTGATGGCATGGACATTACTCTATCATAATAAATCAAATCAATACATGGTACTCATAGATTGAATGAATGAATGAATTAATACTGGAGGGGACCAGCACATGGAATCCAAGACACAGCTTCCAGCACTTTCTCTACGGAAAATTCCCTCACAAAACAATATAACCAGTACCTATCGTTGAGATTTTGGTTCTTATTATCTACTTGGGGTGACACATGCAGAAATTGTTTTAAATTTTTTTATGGCTATTAATTCTAGCTAGGTATGAAGACACACCTTCATATATGCCAGAAGAAAAGGAAAAAAGAAAAACCGTTTTTCAAATATTCTACTTATCTATCTCTTTTACTTTGATTCTTTCCATGTCCCACTTTTCATGAAAGTAGTGGCTGCCATTAAATATTCTAAACAATGTTGTGAATTGAACATTCTGACCATTTTTTCAGCTTTCCGAACCACATTCGTTGAGAATAATGTTAACCATAGAAGTGAAATTACAATATGAAACAACATATATCCAAATTCCATACTGTAGAACACCTAGCATAATGGATAAAGATCAAAGCATATTAAGCTCGTGACCAAGAGAGAGAGAGAGAGGATAAAAACAGAATTGAAAAAGACACTAATAGCGACAACAGTACAAGTACAGGTGAAAGTAATATATATATATATAAATATATATATATATATATATATGTATATATATATATATATATGTGTGTAAAATAAATTGACTTACATTGAATCCCTCGCTAGCAAATCCTCATCAAACAAAATTCTTGGAAGTTTATCCAGGAATTGGAGGGTGAGATCCAAACGACAAGGCTGTGGAATTGGCAATATTAGATTATTTGATTGATCATATATTCATATATAATAATCTAAATATTTAATTTGCCTATATATGTTTGGTAATAGAGATTGGATTTACTTACTGAGGAATGATATCTAGGTGGATTGGCAATGGTCCGTGGAAGCAATTGTGGAGAAGAGGAAGAGAGAGAGGAAGCCCTCCTCTTGAGGTAGAACAAGTAGAACAAGAGAAAGAGAATGATGGAAAAGAGTATTGGAATTGAGAATATGAAGGCTTGGTAAAGCTTAAGCTGAAGTTCCTGTGGATACAGATGTGGAGGAGGGCTAGTTGCAGCTTCTGGAACACTCATGACATTCATAAACCTCTTGCAACTGCAATATGCATGTTACAAGTATGTACTACAAATTAATGTGCATAATGAAAACTTTTAGACTTGTTATAGACTTATAGTTGATCCAACATATACTACACTTACCAAGATATATATTTGGTGTGATAATTTGCTATTCCGAGAGAATTGGATTTCCTTGGTTTGTTTCTTTATTTGACTAGAAAACGTTGTGGTTGGAACTGGCGAAAAGTGGAAGAAAGATATGTAATATATATGTTGAAATGTTTAACTTGGTTGTTTTTAATTGGTGGTAAATTAGAAGGGGCATAGCATAGAATCAATTAGCACTGTTACGTATATATGATTATAATGATACTGATAGTGGCAGTGGTACATATTCTATCTTTTTTTCCAAATGATGGGACAAGGCCATGACCCTCCACTAAGGTATAGCCTCACGCCAACGATCTTAAGCCCAGTTGTCTTCAATGTATTCGCATGGATCCAAACATCTCATCGCATTCTTAATTTGTGTTATTACTAGTGCTAACTTTTCAGGAAAACCAAAAAAAAAAAAGTGTTTTTGCTAAGATATAATAGTACTACTTCATGTTAGGATATAAGTATGATATTGAGTTTTTAATTCTACTTAATTTGAGACTGTTAATATTGTCATTTTCTTTTAGAGTTGATGTCATTAATCTTTCAATGAAAGCATCAATATTTAGGATTTAAACCCATGAAAAAAAAAATTCAAACAAAAATGTGAGATTCTTAACACTTCATTAAAAGTATCAATTCAAGAATTAGAAAATTTTGTTAAACTTGATCATGCTAGTATAGGCACTAGGAAGTTGGAGAGTGAATCATTTGCCATGTTTTGCACTTGTCTACTTGGAGAACAAATCCAACATGAAGATTACTGTTTCAGTAGCGTTAACGTTTGGAGGCATTTTTTTTAAAATATTTTTTTTGTTGTATATTCATCACCAACAATATGTTTTAATGCTTTTTTTTATTCTACCATGCATGGCTCTTATTTCATTAGATTTGAGAATAATTTCACTTACTCATAATATTATGATTGTCATTAATCTAACGAGTTTTTATATATGATGAAGATCAAAGATGAATTTTTCACTTCGTAGATCATCTCCACAACATGTGATTGAAGGGTGTATGCTTGAATGTTTTATTTTGATCAATAAGTTATGTAAGAATAAAAAATTCAAATTTTTTTTATTAAAAATAAAAGCATGTTATGTAAAAAAAAATCATTCATTTTTCTCAATGATTAAATGCTTTTATTATGATGAATTTAATGTTAGTTACCTATTCATTCATGTATATTTACATTCAAGAATTTATAATCAACTTTTTATATATTAAATATGAAATATTATCTAATAAAAAAACGTTTTTAAGGACTGTTTTTTTTCAATGATAGGACTTTGAGAAATTTTTTTAACTTTTTTTCTAATTTAGTTTTTACTTATTATAATTATTTATAAATTGAAGTTTATGTGAACCCTTTTACCAAATTTTAAAGTTTATTTTTCTTAATTTAATTACATTATTATGATGTATGTGTTAGGGTAGTAAGAGTGTCACACATTACACTAATTTATGGTATCAAATCCTTTCTAGTCTTTTAGGCACTTTATTATAGTGATCCCGTTATGTTTCTGTTGTGAAGTTGTTATGTGTTGAGTGTAGTGTTGTGTTGTTCTAGTTAAGCAATTTTAATTATGGTTTATTGATCTCAATATAGGATGGTAGTTAGACCTCTTTATGAAGGGAACTAGATAGGTAGGGCCATAAAGATGATGGTTACAACTACGCATCAACAGAATGTTAATTTAGCTTAGATGGAAGCTAACAAGACTATAACGGAGGCAACTAGACTAGTTGTATCTTAGGAGTGTATAAAAGGCTTGGTTGAGTTTAGGAAAGATAATCCTCCTCGATTCAAGGGTTTGGCTAATCCAGAGATAAGTGACCGATGGATTAGTGAGATGGAAAAAAATATTTAAGGTAATGGCATGTCCGAAGGACAAAAAGCTAACTTATGTAGTTTACATGTTGGTGGGAGAGGCAATATTTATTTAATGTAATTAAAAATAATTTTTATTATAACATAAATTGATTATTATAAATATCAAATATAATTTATATATTTAAAAATATCTATTTATATAAATTTTAAATATAATTTATATATTTAATCATAATACAATATTTATTTGTATATATAATTTATTATAAATTTTAATCGTATATAATAAATATTTTATATACGCATTTCACCTTCTAAAATTATAATTTACATAGAAGTTATAATCTCAATCTATGTCATAAGATGCTTATTACATTTATCCGAATGAATCCTCTCATTAAATTTTAACATAACAAGATCATGTGAAAGTTTTTACTTATCTGCCTCTCTATATGAAAGCTGGACATAATATTTTATTAAGGAATGACCATCAAATGATCAAAGGATCATTTTGGTGTATTTATAGACATGCATGTACCAGTACATTTTACAAAGAAGTTAAGAAATCAAATCAAGTCAAAGTTTGTGAGTGTGAGCATTCTGCCTGTTATCCAGTTCACTTACAATGAGACATAATTTGGAGGGTGGATCACCATCAACTAATCATTGACTTTACTGTCGGATTAGCTTTCCTTTAGGGTAGGCATGGTATAGCCCTACGCGAACTTGCTGTTTCATTCAGGTTCCCCTTTCCTTTACTTTCTTCTTCTTTTGTTTTTTTCTTTTATAATTAAGATTAAAATCCTACTGTCACTTACTTTATTTTTTATTTTTTATAATTTAAATATACACTTTTAATATCTATATTTATCTTTTTTAATTACTTTTTAAGTTTTTATAATTTAATATTGATATTTTTAATTTCTATACTTATAACTTTTTTTTTTATCTTTTTAGTTCTTATCATTAATTTTTTTGTAATGTTGTATTTTTGTGTTGAAATAATAAATGTATTAATTTAACTTTATGTATTTAATTTTATATTTTTTTTATTTAAATGATTTTAAATTAGATCTCTCGACACTTTGTATATTTTTATACAGTCATTACATTAAAAAAAATTGACAGTATTTGAAAAATATTATCTAATTATATAAGTATAAATATTATTAATTTACTTTTACAAAATATTGTAAATACTAGACTCTGAGCAGATTTTCCTTAATCTTTCCAATATATATAATTCTCAGCGAGGAATTTACAGCTACCACACAAGTATAAACAATCAAATAAACCAAATATACACAAGTCTAAATACAATAAATAAGGAATTTCCAATATATACACCATGTAAAGCTTTTCAGAGATATGAGTTCATGAGGGTGGTGATTCTTATGGCCATCACTGATTTTCATGCCTTGGTAGAGAAGGCAAAAATAGTTGAGAGATTGGAAAGTGGTAATCAGGTGGCAAAGGCACATGAAGGGCTAGCTGGATCCAAGAAAGGGGGTAAGCAAATGAAACCTTATGACAAACCTCCTCATCATTAGGGGGTTTGTTGCAAGGAGGCCTCCTATGATACCTTAGGAAAGAGTTCCCAATGTTAGATGTTTTAAGTGTGGAGAAGCACATTTGATTAAAGATTGTTCCTTGAAGGAGTTCAAGTGTTTTCAGTATAGCAATTTGGGCACATGGTGAAGAATTGTCCAATGTAGGCTAGTCAAACTAGAGGTGCACTGTGGGTGGAGTGATATACTATTGCAGGTTGGTGTTTGCTTTGATCAGAGTTTCAAGCTTCCACTTCTACAGACATTGTGAAGGGAAAGGGAAAGTCTATTGGTAAAGATGTTTCTATCCTATTTGACTCAGGTGCTACACACTCTTTTATATTTTTTGCTTTTGTAAAAAAGTTGAAGTTATCTGTTAATTCTTTGTGTGTTGATCTACTAGTATTTACTCCTACATATACTTTTGTGATGACTTTTGGGTTGTGTTTGAGATGTCCAGTTGAAGTGTTGGGGGTATTGTTATAAGGTGAATTTGATGTGTTTTCCTTTACTTGAGTTGGATGTAATCTTAGGAATGGATTGGTTATTGGCAATCGTATCCTTCACTACTACAAGATGCATATTCTGCATCGGTTCTCTAAAGTCATCTACATCGGTTCTAAAACCGATGTAGAATAGAGCGACGTAGAAAATGTATACATTTTTACATCGGTTCTGAAAAATTGATGTAGATTTATGCATAAATCTACATCGGTTCTCTGGACAACCGATGTAGATTTAAGCATAAATCTACATCGATTCTCCAGAGAACCGATGTAGATTTATGCTTAAATCTACATCGGTTTTCTTGAGAACCGATGTAGATTGCATTTTTAAAAAAAAAAAATTATGCTTATTTTTGGATTATTTCTGATTACCTATAATGAACATATATATAACTTTAGAAATTTCATATTTCATATTTAATCCCCAAGGAACTGGTTAGGAGCAGTAACCAAACTGAAGAAAGAATATGAAATAAATACAATAATATGAACTAACGGGGGAACCAAAAAAACCCTCTGAGCAGATTTTCCTTAATCTTTCCAATATATATAATTCTCAGCGAGGAATTTACAGCTACCACACAAGTATAAACAATCAAATAAACCAAATATACACAAGTCTAAATACAATAAATAAGGAATTTCCAATATATACACCATGTAAAGCTTTTCAACGACCTTGAATGTTTGATTTCCATCCCGCAAGTGATGTCAGAAATTCCATCACCTGCATCCTACGAAATCCTAAACCAATACACCCCCCTTAGTCAAATATATCCTTAAACCGAAAATGAAGCTTGGAGTCACTCTACCGCACAATATTGGGTAGGAATGATGAGGAAACAATTTTACTGATATTTAACAATATGTGACCCAATATCAAGGTTGCTTTTGCCATCTTTCCTATGTACCTACCTAGCTAGTAGCTACCTTTGAGTAACTTTAGTTTCATTAGTGTGATGAAATAAAATGCATTTTGAAACGAGGGAACAGGTGGAAATATTTATCTTACTGTTGTTGGTTGAACGTGAAGTGGATTAATTAAGCTCTTTCTCTCGAAGTGGGTTTGGGATTCGATCTCTAACTGCACTTTCTAGTCAGAATCTGTGTCTCTGTTACAGTGATTAACGCTTCTCCTATCTGTCCTGATCATGATTTACTTATATAAGCTTTAAATATTCCATTGAAAGTGTACAAGTAATTTTAAGTTTTTACTGAAACTAAAAAATATT